CAGGAAAATCGAGGCTGAACTTTTCGTCTTTTTAGCCGAGAGAATAATTAGTAAGCAGTGCTACTAATAGGGTTATATATATACATATATTAAATAAAATATGGTATATGAATGATTGGACGAAAGTTCTCTGGAGGCTCGCGACCACTTTTGTCGCTCGTCCGGCATGCATATCCGGTAATGATTTATCACTCCTTTCCTATACTTGTACCTACGAAGTGAATTTTCGTCACAATAACCTCATTTGCAATATCGGGTAATTTGGAATCGATAACCCATTGAATTCCATTGAAGAAAGATTACCAGGTATGCTTGCCTGATGAGCGGTAGAAACCTCGAAACCGGTCGTGTACTTCTAGGGGAACTGTGTTCGGTCATTCATATACTAATTATTATGAAATACTCTGCAAAAACGCTCAAGTCACGTTTGTTGCGCTTAGAAGATAGATAGATAGATAGATAGATAGATAGATAGATAGATAGATAGATAGATAGAACAGGCTTTCTGAGTCGGAAGACGTGGAATCAGTTACAAGCTTTGCAAAGCAAGATGATTTGATGGAATGATGGCAGATTGTAGCAAAACGTTTTCCTGCGATCTTTAAATGTTTAGTGATCTAAAAAGCCCAATATGGCAATAGACTTTGTATAAGTGAAAAGAGTAAGCTGAATTGTGACGTACGTGGGGTTAAGATAGTACCGCCAAAAAACACCAAAGGTAATCGGTGTGATAGAAGCTAGTATAAAATGAAATACTGTAGATTGAGTAATAAGTTCTTGTGTTACACTGAATGATTATGAAACGCTGATAACGAGTTACTTGGCAATTTTGAGTTGTTATCCATAAATTTGTTCAATAGTTTGGCATTTTTCGAGAGATGGAAAGCTCAGATTACGCGCAATTCAACGAAATTGCGTATGTGTGTGTGCGCGCGCGCATTCTTGCCAGAATGGATTCAACAGTCTGTTTATAATCGAACGAATATTCCCATAGAATAAACAATGCCATATTATTACAACTCTCGCCTTTGGATTTTGATTTCTGTTGCTTTTCGTTTTGATCTGCCGTTCATTGCTATCCGGCACCATACTCGCAACTCTGTTGACATTGTTCGTCTTATATCGTGATTCCGCTCCGAGGACTTGTGGCATTCACTTCAAGCTCATTCATAACGCTTTGTGCTGAGGTTATGCAAGACGATATGCAAGGTGTTGTGCACCAGGTTTGGATTACACCATTTTGTGCCCAATATGGAATAACACCAGCAGCACTAGTAGTAACAAAAGTGCCACTGGCAGCAGCAACAGAAAAAAAGCAACAGCAGCAACAGTACTACCAGCAGTATCAGAAACAGCAGCAGCAGCACGAGCAGATATTCGCATTCCAGCTCGATTAGTCAGGTGTCTGGAAGATCGCGGGTGCGGAATTTTCATACACACACATACCTGTGTCATAGCATATGGTACACGAGAACCACCAGTCATATCAGCAAGTTGGTAGATTCGGATAAACTTCTGTGATCGGTATTGCTCACTGCACAGGCAGCCCATGGACCAAAGATGAGCTTCGAATTCTTTTTTATTTTGGGTAACTTACAAAGCCGATTTATCTTGAATCCCATAGGATCTGTACACTTTGGTTTTTATTGTCAGTATAACTCAATAACAAATTATGGTGTACACTCACAGTGCTGAACAGTTAGGTGTTCCAATGTTTCATCGAGCCGTTTGACTTGAATGAGTCAATACTTGGTGCACAAATACCTTGAGGTGGAAGAGAATTCGAGGTATTATTATTATTATTATTATTATTATTATTATTATTACCAACTCTGAGGCTGAAAAATTCACGACTGCCGTCTCCTTTGGAGTAAAAGTTTAAAGGGATGTCCCTTGAGGTGAGCATTCCTGGAGAGTACTAGGAAAGCACTACACAGGTGGTTAGATTGATGTAATATTGGACATATGAAAATCAAATCTCACCGCACCCAACTGTAGTCTGAGAATTTGCAGTTTTTCATTGTAGGTTTTCAACGGTAACCCTTTGACAATTGGGGTTGCTGTTCTCTAGGGGTGCAGTAGCGAAGTAGCTAATGAAGTCCATGCTTGTATAGCATACTCGGTGTGGTCGAAATGTATGCTGACAGCAAACGGGGCCATATATTTACTTCGAACTAACCAACTTTCTTTATAGCCTTTGATGACGCTCTAACGCAATGTGTGGAACATCCTAGATCCTCACGGCCAATAAATCCCATATCCGTCTCGTTTGGGCCTCGCGTTATTGGTTACTTTCCGTATGGAAAGTGACCCACGTGATGCAACGATCCAACCTTACATTTCTCAACGTTGAAATTGATATCATTAGGGGTAGACCATCGGCAAGCTTCGTGGAGAGTTTCCTGTAGTGCTTCGTAATCTATAGGGTAGTGTACGGTTCTCGAATTTTTGGGGTTGTCGGCGAATATTAGTGCCTTTTCTCCTTGGACAGCTGGTAGGTCGTTTATGAATGCCAGATAAAGGTAACGAGCAGCGTCCCGATACGTAAATTTATGTAAGAATGACTTGGTGACGCACCAATCAGGTCGCCTTCTTGACAATGATTATTATATAGGACGACAGCTGTCTGATTCGTCCTAGTCATTCAATCAGGAATCAACTCGTCCTGAGCGTCACGAGCGTGCTTGTGATATGAGGTGGATGTGACGTGTGCAGCTTGACAGGCTCTGTGCGGTCCGTCCTAATAAGTGTTTTGTTAATAACTGTGAGAAATATCGTTGGACAATACACGATAAAAGTTCTACCAGGTCCAATCTCGAATATTCTATCTTACAGTTTGACTGTGTTCGTCGGGTGAGCTTTTCCATCCGAAAGAGGTTCGGACTTTTGTTCAAAACCTCTTCAATTCGACAATCAACACCAATGGGTTGAACTTTTCTCCCAGGTCAAATTGTAATTTTGTCCTATCAGGAGAAAGAGGAAAGCAAAGAGCGTATTACAGTCAGGTTTTTGCCATCTCACACTGTTCAAACTCTGCGGGGTTATCAACGACTTTCTATACTTTTCCATTTGCTGTTTTACCAAGGATCGCATTCTCGTTTTGATTATCCATTTATTTGTTCATCTGCTTACTCGGGCTTTTAATGTGACTA